ACACGGTTTATATTATTATTGGTCTAATCTACGCAATTCTTTCTCAAGTTCATGCATAAATCACTAAATCAATTGAAAGGTGATCAGGCTTCCAATGCATTAAGTTCAATAATATAAACTCCTCATGCAAATAACTTTAATTAAAAGTATAAAATCACTAAATCCATATTGAATTGATTAGGCTACATCATAGCCTTAATAAAATAAATCAGTTCATAATAAAAAGAATAAAATCTACAATCATAGTTAAGAACAAGGAAGAATAAAACCCAATTTGAGGAAATCGAACTCCTTGATCTTCTATTGTTGAATCCTCTATTTTGACCTCCAAGAATGCCCAAGAGGGCTGCCACAAGCCTCCCCAAAACTCCTCTCATTCTGAATTTAGATGGGTATTTATAGGATTTTAGAAACCCTAATTGAAATAGAAGTAGGACTTGGAATAGAAATAGGAAACTGAATTTTAGATGCTGATCGCGTGGTGCTGACACTTCGGATTACGTGTTGACACAAAATAGGAAATAGAATCTGGACGTTTAGCGCATGGTGTCGACACCCCGATCATGTGTCGACACTACACCCGTGTCGGGTTTCTGCTCTCCTTTTGTAATTTCTTCAATGGTAAAATAGCAGATTTGGTTCTTGACTTTTGGATTCTCCACAAGTTGATCCTCAAGTCTCTAATCTCTTCAATTTACTTCTAAAAAGTAAGATTTCTTTCAATTAAATCATTTCCTATACAAAGAATGAAAATCATGTAAAATCAAACAAAATCCCATAAAACTTATCCAAATATCAATAATATCAAAGTAAAATTTCCCTATTAATATGTATATAAATTTAGCTCATCATACAGCTTGGACAGAATCTCTTTTGGATATGGTGGGTCTTGAACAAACTGGAAAGGAGTTGCCCCATGTCTGGAACATTCCCTATCCAAGAAAGCAATAAGGTCTGCCATGGCGATGAAACCTTGGGCAAAATTGGCTGCATTGGGTGTGGTTCTATCAATGCTAGCGACTGCAACTACTGGCAGTATTAAGTTATCTGGCCATGCAACAGAACCTCTGTTTCCATCAGTAGCCCCAATGTGGACTTCCTATGGCTGGGGTGTCCCAGCCATATTGATTGGTTGGGCTGAATCTTGCACAGCATGTTACATCTGAATGTTCGTGAGGAGCTGAGTAGTCCTTTGTTGGTCTTCATACAAGACCTAAATAACTTGCACTAGAGATGCAAGGCTAGGATCGGTGACTCCTTGCAAGAGGTCATTAAAAACGTCTGTCGACAAACGTGGCTACTGAACCTCTCGCCCATCATCTTGGCCAGGCTCCTAATTTTTGCCACCAATGCGAGATGAAGTTGCTCTTGTGACAGGCATGGTCGAAAAAGCTCTATTGAAGGTGAATAAATATCACTGAAGAAGGATGTTGGAGATACTATGTCATCGAAGGAGATAGAACTGGATGAAGCTCTAGGATGACCTCTCCAATGGAGTCGCCATTTTTTGTTGGGGTGTACTGATGATATGGGTTGATGAGTCAGCAGTGATGATGATATGGGGGCTTACTAGGATAACACCCAAGAAAATGAGAAAGGATTCTTTTGATGGCACCTGTCTCACGTGCACAAGGCAACATGCTACTAGCCATCTCGTTTTGCCCAATGGTGATGTCCTACAGCAAATTCTCAGCGAAGTTGAAGAATATAAATTTCCCAACCGAACTGATGGAGTTAAACAGCGATGACGAGGACTTAAGAACTCGGAATAATTATACAACTATCAAAACCAACAACAAGAGGATATATATTGCTAGAAAGGTAATGAAGATGGGGAATATATGGGATCCAAGGATTACAACTTGAAGATTGGTTTCACACATAAAACACTGTGACATGGTAGTAATGACACCAAATGTAACCTCTATCATCCCTAGTGAATATTTTCACCCTATAACGGAGAGCTCTTATGTTGGGTACAAGAATGTAATGGTTCTCCTCTTCGAAGTTTCTTCAAGAACGAAAAGGGATAAGCTTGAGAATGGTGATGGGAGAAGGAAGGGTGACCGCTTGGGAGTGCTTAGGAGTGGAATACTTAATTCCATTCTTTGATGCTAACCACATGCTTAGATCTTTAATGCTCAAGAAGAACTACTCGAAAACTGAAACTGTAACATGTTGTTTCCCAGCCATGTTATTTTGCAAATCTGGAAATATTCTGCAATGCTGGGCAATATTCTGTAGTGCTAGAAGTATTCTTTAGTGCTGAAAATATCCTGCAGTGCTAAAAATGCAGGGAATCAGGCAAACATGGTGATTTTCAGATCGATTTTTAGCATTTGGAATGGTGGGATGGTTGGTTAAAGATGAGTAAATTTCTTAGAGAAAAATGGAGGTCTGGTGTGGGTGTAGAAAAAGTTAGGTTCTCCCGTTTTGTACATATCCTTTCCTTGAAAAACAAAGGAAAGATAATATATATATGGTCAGGGGCAATTTTGTAATTTTTGGTTAATGGGTCAAAGGTGTGTAGACGGGTTTGGGTGAATTGTCAACCTTCTAATGGTTCTGGGCATTATTGGCGGCTTCTCTAGTAATGACATTATGGGTTGCCTAGCAATTCCAACAATAGCAGTTCCAACGAAGCTTCATTGGTTCCAGCGATGGACTGGAAATTGCCTATTCTTGGAAATTCTTCCAGCCATACGAAACTCCATTTCTAGAGAGGTGCTTGAGTGCAATCAGCAGAAGCAACACCTACACAATGATTTGGCAAGTTCCCCAAACTCTGTGCGGGAATTTGGGAGATTATGCAAGCAAATAGTGATCTTTTGTAACAATTTCCAAGACCATGGAACTTATGCAGCCACCCTTGCATTAAATATGGCTGCAAGTTGCTGATTTTGATTTGAATGGCATCTCTGCTTAGTCTTCAACAAGATTTCCAACCTCTGGTTAGCATCAAAGGGTACTATTCTGGGAATTAAGTTTGCTTCCACGCCTTCACCACCTAGCCCTTTCTGGCGAAGTCGAGCAACATCGCCAACGCCAAGCTTCGCTGGCGCGAATGCTTTGCTTCACCAGATGGGCAGCGTTCATCCATCCATGCCTACCTAGCCACTACTCCCATAGTTTATCCCGAGTAATTCCCATGAGCTTGGATTCATAGGCTTGCGTTTATTTGCGATAACAGAAAAGCAAATGTGAGTATATGTTCAAGTGTTTTAAGTGTAAAAAGTATATGAATACGTGCAGCAAATAGGGAAACCCCCTTGTATGTTGAAGGAGACTATATGAACAAATGTTTGTTGCTCTCGCTTATTTGCTGGCCATGGCAGGCACTAATCTATTGTTGCTACACATGGCTGGTGTTGCGCCAAAATAGACAATAGATGATGTGGGTGTGTGCTGCAATATCGTTGCTCCGATCCAAGCTTTGTTGGCTGGAGATACTTGCCAACACGTAAGACATAGGAAATATGCACTGTAGGTTAGGGTTACCGGCAACTGGTAATTTTTTCCCTTTATATAGAAGAATGATAACATGCATGATCGTCAACCATGCTGTACAGGTAATATAGGATCGACCATGAATAGCTTTCCTATAGGCAGAGGGACAACAGTAGCTAGCTTTGTCCATGGCTGGAGCGTGAAGTATTTGGAAATGGAAGAGCACTCCCACTAATCCATCAAGTTGCGAAGGGGTAAATCTCATTAAATCAGACTTCGCCATAGCGATGAATATGTATAAAGAGAGATGGAGTTGTCTCCATGGAAGGGGGAACGCCAGCCTCATCCATGGCCTCTGATACGACAAATTGTGATACCACTGACAAACGTTGGCCCTTCTTGCTGTGCCTGCACCGTCAAAGGGTGGTCCTAGTTGTTATTGCTCGCCGGGCACTGCACCACCATGCACGGGCGACCATCAAGGGACCGTCGGTCGCTACTTGATGAATTTTTATCGTTGAAGGGTAGCCATCCCATCCGATCACAGGTTTGCAACTGTTACCAACCTCACGCTAATCATACCGAGTTGCGCTGACTCTTTGTCTGTCTCTAGGAGCTAGTGTGATAAATATGTTGTAAATATAGCTCTTTGTCCATTACTAAGAGCTATGTAGATGTAATAGGATCAGCCCGTTATCCATTGATGGGAACCAATGATAAAGATATATAGATGCTTGGCTCGTTGTTCATCGCTAGGAGCTGTACAAATTAGCGCATTGTCCTTTGATGGGAGCCATGTAGTAGAACAAGCTCTTTATCCATTGCTAGGAGCCAAAATATGTAATAGTAATCACTACTATAGAGGACATGACCATCAAAAGCGCCCAGCCATGTTGTGTCAATAATGTAGCCGTGTCTGGCCATGTGTAAGAAAATGCTGCTGAAGTAGAACATGTCTGTATTATTTCCAACGGAGTGGGTTGTTGACAACCACACTTAAAATTAAAAAAATTAAGTGTGAAAAATATAGAAAGTGAGTCGTCACTCATCCAAATTATAAGGTGAGACAAGTCACCTTAAAATGAGTCTGCGCAGAAATCGGGGTTCGAGGGTTCAATTAGGAGTGAGAAAGGGCATGCGCGCACCTGATAATCCTCCATTTAAACACACGGTTGCATGCTTTAAAATTGGGGTTTTGATTCAACTGATTCATTATATTTATGTTAAAGTCTTAATAGGCAAACTTAAAAAAGAATAAACCAAATTGAAACATTTTTTTTTTTTTTGAATTTTTGGACTAGAATGGACAAATCAAAGACATGCATGCATCATAAGCACAAATTAAAATTAAAGGGACTAGTTTGATTAAATTTGAAACACGAAGGACTTATTTAAAAAGGTTTGAAACCTTGGGACTGAATTGCTTAATCATAAAATTTTTTGGGTGAAATTGAAATAAATGAAAAAGGATAACTTTGACTTTGACCAAAATTAACATAAACTTAAGGATTTAAGTTAAGTAATTACGTTCATTAATTTAATTAAATGATTAATTTAACATTAATTAAAGTTAATTAAAATGAATTAATCATAATTGTTAACCTTTAATTAAAATCATTAAATAAATCTAATAATCTCAGATTAAAATCAATAAACATGATTAATTTATTTTAATTAAAATTAATTAATTTCATTAATCATAAATTAAACTAATTAACTTAATCAATTTAATCATACTTATATATATTTTTTGTTTTAACCTTTTTAAAAAGTTTTTTTTATTAGATCGGATTGAATTCACCCGACCTAAAACACAATCCATCAAACAGACAAACACAAAACAGATCAAACCTCCAACTAAAAACCCAAAATCCAGACGACATATAGAGAAATTTAGAGTTCATCATCAATCACATCTCATTTCCAGCAAGCAACACATTTATCCAATATGCAAAAATGGATCAAACGTTGAACAGAAAAGGGAATTTGGAGAGAAACGAAAGGGGAACTAAGGGTTGTTATTCAGCCATTCAACCAAAACAAACAAAAGAAAAACAGAGACATCCATTCGATTTGAAATCCATGAAATTAAAAAAGAAAATGCTTGATTTCATTCACAATGTCATCCTCAAATACAAATTTAGCACATCACACACAAAGAAACTAAGACAACCATGGCAAAAGTCTTGGGAGAAATCAGATCAGGAACCCCACCCACGGGATCAAGCTCCAACCGTTTCCTTCACTACTCTTCCCAAAAAACTTCCTCTAATCAGAAAGTTTACCTAAAAGAGATAAACCCAAAAGAAATACAGTCTCCAAAGCTCACGATTCTTTCATTTCAGCGTCGCTCAACCCCTTTTTCATCTCCATGAAATCTTCCCCTACTACTCTTAAAAACCCAAACGGAGACTCCCAAAACCAGGCC